GCAGAGCCCCAAGGGGCACCCGCACGGGAAGATCCACCCACCCACCCCCCAGTTCAGACCATAGGGGAGAAATAGAGACTCCCCCCAGCGACCACACGCACAGCCCCCGGGGCCAGCAGCGACAAACTCATGGGCCCCACCGGCACCCGCCATACCAGAGAAGATCCAGGAAAGGGCACAGAGGTCCAGGCCCCCAGGGCGCACCCCCTCCAGGCCAAAGCCCGACAGGTCCAGAGGTCCCGAGCCCCAGCAGGCAGTCACCAGGCCAGGGCGGCACACACTCCAGCGCCCAGCCCCAGACCCTGGGAACCCCCAGCATGCCGGCAGCCAGCCGCACACCCCACCAGGGGGGCGAGTAGCAGCAGGCCCCCAGATAAACCAGCAGTAGGGGCAGCCCAGACCACAGCCTGACAAATACCCAAACATACACAATCGCACCATCCCACCCTCATCCTCACCCCCACTCAATCAAAGACATACAGGGACGTCACATTCCATTCATACCCCCGATACACACTCTATACCCCCCAGGTCCAGGACATGCACCCACCCCCTATTGGAGGCAGCACACACCCGAACCCAGGTGGTAAACCCAATCATTCTGAGGTGGAGAGGAGCAGATAGCCAAGGCCTGGCCCGGGCCGTACCAGGACGCCTGGCCTGCCCCCCGCCACAGAGAAGCCACACCCATGACCACCCCACCACATCGCCAACGACCAAGTGCACCCCACCAGCCGTCCACCCCCTGGAACCCAGCAGCCACCCACAGCAATGAAGAGCCACACCTCAGGAGACCAAGCAGCATCAGGGAGGATGGAGAGCCAGCCCCGCCCCCGGCAACCGTCCAAGCCCCGAGCCCACCCACAGCCCAGGACCGCACCCGGCGGTCCGCCCTTCTTCAGGACCCCCTCCCCAAATGGCAGTCGGGGAACGGGATGGGAATAAAGACCCTGACACCCACACCCCCCACCCCCAGATGTACTGTTGGTGCGTGTTTTTCGATAGATTAATTAAAAAGGGAAAGAAGAAGAGGCAGAGGCCGGCGTGGTGCCAGTTTCCCCTCCACAACTACTCTAACCCAAAACCCTAAGTTTCTATATGTAAACCTTGGGGGGTGGGCACAGGCACAGGAGGTGAGAGTGGTGCCATCCGGCCATCTATAGTCATGAGTGCCCACCATAAGTTCCTATATGTGAATTTCATGAAAATTTTATGAGTGAATGTCTAAGATGTACAATAAAATTTGGGGCCCAGGTGGTTATGGCACAATAGAAATGTAATATTGTTGCTCTTATAACACAACAGTGCCCCCCAAAAATCCTACATGGGTGAAGTTGAAAGTGAAGAGGATGGAGGTGTGCTGTGAGGGATGGGGAGATTAAGCTGAAGGAGCAAAATGCTCCCACAGGGAGTCAGCTCCCCCGCTGGCCCCASTAAGCCCTCCCTTTCCCCGAAACCCACCCAGGAAGAGCAGCCCAAATACCTCTCCCTCCAGGCAAACCGCCAAGCCCACGGAACCCCAGACCATGGACTGACGGAGCCCCGAAGGCTACCAGAAACCGGGACCAACACCCCACCCCCCAGAGCCACCCAGACCCCCAAAACTCGACCCAAGCCCCATAGCCGGCCCGCTGCCCAGAGAGGCCACCGTTCCCCAGCAAGGACGGCCCGGCCAAGAGTGCCCACCCAACCGCCAACAGAGCAAGGGGGCTCCCAGGGTGGGCCCCCGCCACAGCAAAGAGGCCAACCAGCCAGCCCAGCATGGCCCCCAGCTACCACCAAGGGCCACCAACCCAATCCCCACCCCAGAAGACATACTACACCCACCCCAACATTCAGGCCACTATCAGAGCATGTAACTCAAGGACACCCAGGCTGGGTGAACCCCCAAACCCCCCCCCCCACTAGGTCCATGTCACGCCCCCAACCAACCCTACCCCCCAGCCCATGAGAACCGCAGACCACCAGCGAACCAGAGGC